AATTATCGTATTTTCGTGATCATTCGAATTCGAATTTCTTTGAATGATTGAGTGGATCAACAGCCAATCAACAGATCAATCGATAACGTCGATTGCTTTCATGAAGCTCGCAAACGAATCGTCTCGAAATGAATTGGGCTCGTCATTGGTGCCATTCTTGCCCAGCTGATAAGAAGTCAACTGATAACAGCTGATGAAATCAAACGATGATGCGATTATAAAACAAAAAATAATAATTTATTGCTCTCCTTCGATCACGGTGATGTATGCAAACATAACACATAAGATACATTCAAACAATTTATTTGTTGATATCAATAACGAACACATACATCTTACAGCACATAAGTGAATCAATTCCTAATCACTCATCAAAGTAACGAATCGTAATCACTGAAGTATTTCAAGTATTCAGCAATCATAATATAATAATAATAATAATAAACATCAAATATGTATAATACGTGTATACCAGTATCGTAGAATAAACAATTATCTCATTTAAGTGAACACGACAGTATAACTGAATCCACGGTTCCATCTGCTTTGACAAAGTGATTTCAAGATGAACTGAACAAAAAAGGAATGAAAATGAAGTGTTTAATGTGATTGTGTAAGTACAAGTACATATTATAACTGTATAAGTAATGTGGGCAATCGGCATGGAAGACATAGTACCATTCAAGAACTATGTGAAATTGAACAGCGCAAGAAGGATTCCTAATATCCGAATGTAAATTCAATTTAAAACAAGTGAAGAAACACGGTTGAGATCGATTCAAGTATCAAAATATAGCAGATTTACGATAGCGGAATTAATTGAAATCATATTTATAATAGGAGCAAAATATAATGAACAGATTGATGCAATAGGTATAATGAAACTCGGTGGCAGGCTTGTAAACTCGTGAAGACAGACTTTATCCGTGTGAAAGGATAGAATAACTTCTATGTTGAAGTCGTATGTTCCCTCTGATGCAGAGTATGATATTTTTTTCGTAGTCATTGGGTGTGATTCACTCCAAATCAAGTGAATTTCGTAGAAATTCCCAACGAAGCGTACCTACTAAGATTATCATAACTCTCCACTGATCGTGCTTGATTTCTTGTTTCTTCAGAGTTTCAGATCCCGTAATTTTTTTAATTTAGTTTATGAAACTGATCATAGATTACATAATGATCAATGTTGCAGTCGATCCAGAGCGTGCTCTCTAGGAAGACGGATTTTTCAATTCCAGTCCTTGATCCCGGCAGGATGGAAGGATTTAACTGTTATTGTTCTCCCTGTCCTCGCGGAAGGATCTGTCATGCCAGCCTCAATCAGGAGTTAATCATTTGCAAATGCTCAATCACTCGAAAGAACCAGGACGTTCCTCGTCTATGGACAATTCATCGCTGAAGTGGACGAAACGTCTGCTGGGCATGGTGATCGAGCGCTTCTTCGTGAAGAGACGTTCACGTAGTGCGTTTGTGTTCATGGAATGCGGTACGGACAAACGTGCCTTCGCGATTTTCTTTAACTGAAAAGATTTGCTCAAATTTTAGAAGATATCTTCGACTGATTAAAGAAGAAATATTTGATGCAATCTCCCAGTTTTCAATATCTCATGGAAATTTTGAAAACCAATCGTAGGCAAAATGGCATGCGCATGATTCTGCAGTGTATAATAAATATCAAGTGATCACCACATGATCTATAGTGATCAAATGCATATCAATGAGCACCTCAACGCCAGTTGAGATAGCTTTGATAAAATAGCTATAGCTCCTCAACTAAGCAAAATCGCTCGACTAAATATATTTTTCTGAAAGCAGAGATTCTGTTCAATCGAATGATATACAAACTTGAATATGTTTCAAGAGTTTTTGAGGAGGGTAAACCGTTGTCGTAACGTTATTCAAGTTGTTGTCAGATTCTTTTAAACAAACTCAAAATTAAGTTTTCAGCTCCCTTGATTAAAAGTTTACCTTGACCATATCGTTACGCTCTTCAGCTTCCTTCCTTTGCTTTTCGAGAATACGATCTGCTATATCGTTGAAGCGTTTATGCTCAGGGGATGTGTCTGAGGTGGCGAATGACACCAAGCAAATCATTGATTGTAGCATAGGTATTGGAAATTGAACATTTTCGAGTAATCGTGTCAGAACTCGATCTCGGAATGTCTTCAGAATTTCCAGTCGAACGTCAAACGAAGAATCGAATGACTGAAATCGGAATCAACATTTTGACCAAAGATCAGAAAAACTTTCGATTTGCTCGAAGAAGACTGATCAAAACATGGATATCAATGAGTTAACAGTTTATCTTGAGTTTATACAATATCGAACTATTTAAGGACTGATTAATAGCGGATCCTATCTGGTGGAATAACATTTGAATATATCATTTATCTACACTCATCCAGAAAAAGTGGCGTTTGTTAGAGTTATGAATGCACTGAGAATAACTTAACGGGACTTATGCATGTTCGATTTTCGATGAGAGATGAAGCTCTAGTTTTCTGTAATTGTATTTCCAATCAAGCACTGCTTTCACACTAGATATCTTACATCAATCTTATCGTATCATATTACTTGCTCTTGTCTTATTAGCTGCGCAATTTAGCGATCGTTGAATCTGAATGAAATAAAATTTCACAATTAGATTGAGAATGCAATATACCTGCAATGGATATAACATGGCTTGTAAAGTTGGTATGATCTGAGTATGCGTTTTATGCCAAAGGTCCGACAGAGCCGTAACATTGTGTTCATCTAAAATAGTGTCCAGATCCGAGGTGGCACATTCGAACGCTTTACAAGCGTTGTTCTCCATTGCAGCCGGGATAGCACTCTGAAAGTGACATCTGTGGTTAAGATTTGCCTTTTGCTTGATATCGTTTCTTGTTGATGATTAGGGTGTGTTTGTTTTTGGAATAAGACTTCCATCCTCCAAGGATTCCGGATTGATAATAAAGTCGACTTCACAACATCAGAAACTTGCCATCCAATAGCCATTGGTGCACTCAGTGCTATTTGATCATTGTTTTGGGATGTTGACATGAGTGCTGAAACTAAATACCCCTCCAAAGTTTTCAAAAAGCTCGCTCTTCAAACATTCCGCAATTGACATCAAACACTAGCAAGGCAATTGTTTCCTTTTCTGATTGTTTGCGATTGCTTCTCTTTTTTTACGAAAAAAAAACCATCACATTTT